ACTAGAGAGGAATATATACCATAGTTACTAGGAGCTTGAGAATCAATTAAGAAAAAGTACCTTCGGCGTCGCTGTAAAAGAGGCGGGGCTGGAAACAGTGAAAGAGCACGGCGTTGAACGCGAACGCAAGGAAGACGCCGAGCTTTTGCTGGAAGACTTCCCGCAGCGTCGCGCCAATGTTGCGGCCAGCAGCAAAGACGCAGGCGACAGCGATAAAGTTGATGCCGCCGAGGATGTACCACTCAGGAAAGCAGACCCAGATATTTGGCCGCGCCGGCGTGTGCTCGCCCGAGGCCTTAGTGACAAAAGCAGAAGCGATGAGGACGCCGAGGCCCGTGCGCATGGCGAGACCCAAGTTGGTCTTGAACTCGGCTACATACAATATAGGTAAACACCACGTCGTTTCGTTGTTCGAGCGAGCGTACTGCGGGACTGGGCCTCAGTGTCCATGGGCCGCGCCTTGCCCATGGTGATGCGCAGTCGCCCGATGGCCTCGCGCTGCGACTTGCTCAGCTGGTGAGACAGCGTCGGCCGCCGGTGCAAGCTCGGCGCGTCCTCGTCTTGTCGACAGCTCGTAGTAGCGTCTGCTGCCATCGCTGCGGCGTCGCCCGATGAGAAATGGCGCTGCGTGGATGGCCGCGCCAAGGCTTTGCCCAATCAGATTGCGTTCTGTCGTATCGCAATCGTTCCGGTACAGTTCCAACCTGTGCATACGATAAAATATTGGGATATTTCTTTCGCCCTCGTGGATAATATTGAATATAGCGGCGTCCCCGAGCGCCACGTCATTGGATCGTCCGTCGGTTTGTATGTCGTTTTTTTCGAGAGGCCAAAAATGACGTCCTCGTGCGGCTGTGCGTGCTCACGACGGGGTTGCATGTTGGCTAAAGGCTGTAGTAGCCTGCAGCTACTCGCCTTCCGGACTCTACTGCAGGCATCGTAGCTGCCTGTTTGTGTATCTTGTGGTCAGTTCAACAAGCAATCTCGGCTTCTACCTTCTGAAATCATCGAATCGAATCTTGGGACGTCGCCACAGCTTCCACCTCGTCATCATGGGCCCTGGGCCCGGACCATCGAGCAAAAATCTTTCGCGGCTCTGTGCGACACCACAGGAAAAAAAACCTTGTCTCTGCAACGTGCGCCTTTCTCAGTTGGGCCCCCCACCCAGTCACGTTTTTTAGGTACCCAAAGTTGAGACATTGACTTGATTATGTGGGCAGTGGGTACCTCAAGAAAATATATTTGGGACGGGGCCCCACTATGACGTGGCATTCCAGTCTGCACTTGATGTTGCCATTCCTTCGGCTGCCAGGTCGCGAGGTCATAATAGCGTGCACGGGAGAGCGAATGTCCTTGTGGCGGACCCATGTATGATGTATAGCTGCAACCCAGCCGTCTGCTGTGACAGACTTTAGGCGTCACGACTTCGGTAGTCAGATATAAGTGTCTTCCGGGCTTTCACGCGCGAGAAAACAGAAAGCCGAGCTCTCTTCGGGACTCGAAACCGGATCTACCTGGTGGTACACCAGTGTCTAAGCCGCTAGACTAAATGTAGACGGCAAGAACCACACCTTCTTGACTCGAGAGATCGTTCTCGAGGTTTATATACTGTTCATGCGCCAGCCATACAATCTGTGCATCCCGACGGCGTCAACTGTGCCACAGTAAAACCACATAAGAACCACGTCACCTTGCCTGAGTTGCTATACTGCATTTAGCAGGTCCCTTGTGACGTGAGCTGGTTGGAACTTTTGTAGTGGATGCGAAGCGTGAATTGACGGTATTGCGACGACGGCGCGTTGGCCCAGACAAAAGTCAACACACGACCCTTGCTCGCTTCTGAAATCGAACCTAATCGGAAAGCTCGTGAATTTCAGCCAAGTACGCATGCGCACTTTATCGCAATCTTGGACCTTTATCAACCAAAACGTCGAGACGATGGACAGCACTTAACAGGGACTATAAAATCGCACTTCACTGGACAGGCTCCGCGCGACGCGATTGGCTTAGACCAATGAACCTGCGTTTTATTGGACAAAATGGCTCCATATATAGCCAATAGGTTGGCCGGATGGAGACACGACACGGACGAATTAATCCCTGGGATGCTGGTACACCACGTAAGCGTTCCTACCAGAAAAATACGTTGAACTACCGGTACACGGCGCACTGAGTCTTCGCCAAGAAATAAAAGTATGTATATTATTAGCAGTACAATCAATACTAGCCATCATGACATACCAGTCGCAAGTTTAAACATGCATTCTTCTTGCCCTCTCTGCGATATTTGCTAATACCAAGTTTAAAAATCAGGCGTTTCTATTTGCTTGCATGAATGATGGTAATTGACGAAGATTGCTGGGGCCTTTCACTTTAAAGTTGTCAAACGCGCGCAAGCGACCGAAGGTTTTTGGAACGTCCAAGCGCCATGTACGACGGCCCTTCACTAGAGAAGCAGGGCTACACCTACATGCAGCACGGCAGGGTCGGGTTCTTGTGCAGCGAGCTCTGCCTACCGCCAGACGGGCCAACAGACGCCCGGTACCCGCTACACTGCGCCATTCTCCGCGGCGACCTCCAACTTATCGAGCACATGCTTTCAAGCGCAAGCGAGACGGTATCGCCGGCGGCCATCGACTGCGCCTTCCTCAGCGGCCACATCAACATTGTTTGCGCGCTTCTGGCGGCCCGCGAGTGCATTCCGGAGCTGAATGCATGCAGCAGCGTTAACCACGCGGACAAGACGCAAAACTCGCTCGTCGCGCACGTGCTGCGCCACAACAGCGTACCGCTGCTCGATCTCTTCGCGGCGTACACGGACGTGCAGTGGGACGGCGAAGCGTTGCG